ACTCGCACACTATCCTAGAGATCAGTTTCTGGAGACAGGCGCGAATGGCAGCGCCCAATGAAAGAACGAGCAATGGTGAAACGAAAGGTACACAGAAGGGTACCTCCGTTCGCCCTTCCTCTCGCGCATGCATGTTCCATCCTAGCACGTGTTCTACATCACACAGGCTGCTCGCTGCAACCATATCCATTCCCCTGCGCAATCCGATGACCCATTTCCATGGACTCATTTCTAAACACGCCTTCAGGCCTTCAGACGAAACTGCAGAAGCCGTTTTGAACACATTCTCGACAATAACACCTTTCATCTTTAATGGATGCGCTGAAGTGCAATGAACAAGGATGTTTTCACTGCCAGGCTTTCGATACCACTTCGTTTTTTGAATACCATGCGAGAATTTTATCTGAACATTGAGGAAAGCGAGCCAACTCTCTGCCGGTTTTTCCCTAGTGAACTCTATATGTTCAGGCTGCCTAGTAAGTAGTTCAAAACAGGTGCCCATTTCAGTCTGATGCAACACTGCAACACTGCAACACAAACAGTCGAAACAGTAAATAAGTGACCTTCGTTCCAAGACGGGCCTTTCAAATTTCGACATGAACGCTATAACCAGCGCAGGTGCTAACCTCTGCCCCATAGCTAGTCCTCTCTCTTCCTTATAGTATTCACCCGACCACTTAAAGTGTATTAGGATTAGGTTGAGGAACCAAGCAATCCTGGCTGATTAATCAATACCAAAGGCGATGCGCGAACAACGGCAGGGACCTGACCTCGTATGACCCTACTTATTAGTTTACATCTTGGGGGCGGGGGTCCCCTGGAGCAATCCCTGACCCTACCTCTGAGNTACCAAAGGCGATGCGCGAACAACGGCAGGGACCTGACCTCGTATGACCCTACTTATTAGTTTACATCTTGGGGGCGGGGGTCCCCTGGAGCAATCCCTGACCCGACCTCTGAGTCCCAGCACATATAAAAACGCCGTAAAGAACTTCGGGCTCAGGGTGCAGACAAACAGCTCCAGTCAGTTACAGGTCAGCTCATCGCTTCTGTTTTACTTCCCTTTAAAATCGTCTTCTTGTAATTTGAAATGGTAACCCACGAATCACAAATGTAGTTCTGACTTACAGGCTCCGACGAAGGCGATATTGCCGAAACTAAGCCCTGTGAATAAAGTGTTATTAAAAATCTCGAAGGCTAATACAACCTACGACGAAGTTGTTACAATATGCCGAGGTTAATCGAAAGTCGGACGTGGGAAATAGAGAAAGTCTAGCGGTATCTTCTGCGACCGAAGGTATTTCATTACGCTAAAATGGATGGTGCGCCGAACAGTGGTGAGGCCCACGACGCTCTACGGCAGCCATTGAGTAAAATGACAGCTTTACTCCATCGAAAGAAGATGCCTAGAAGAGCCTGCGTTCCAAGTGAAACGGAGCGAGGACACCAGAGCGGTGAAGCAGCAAACAACCAGCTGAAAATGAGGGAACAGAGTCTGCGATTGCGCTGCAGGACCCCTGCAGCACTATAAGAAAGGCAAAGGGGTTCAAAGCGGAAGGAAAGCGACCACGTTGAGACCTGAAAAGTAGATGGATGATCGTCATCAAAAAGGAACAAGTAATCAAGGGGAGAGCAGTAGATTCCGTAAGAAAGGATGGCCACAAGGAGAGCACCAATGCCGATGCTAACCTTCTTAACCTGAGCCACGCAAAGTCATGACACAAATGAACATCCAAAGAGGCGCAATGCAACGTACGGGACTATATTCGTTCCGAAGGGTTGATTTTATGAAATCATAAATATTAGGCGAAGTAAGTGAATGAGGTTTTTTTTCAAGGACTCATTGAATCGATACAGGTTGACTTGAGCGGGGCATTTTGAAACCATGTGGAGGGGCTAGGACATTCCGTCGTACTACAACGTCTCGCCATCTGGCCGGATGACAAAGCTGCGATAATGTTTTTCACATCTACGCATGTTCGCTACTGTTTTTTCACGAGTTTCATCTAGAACATCCAGCAAGAGAAGCTTATTGAAACGTAAGCTCCGAAGAAGCAGGGATGTCATAAGCGAGAGGACCTGCCAATTTTGGTCGAAGAATTCCACGATGGGAGTTTTCGAACCACAGTTAGAAAGTTCTTCCGCTCGAAGATGGACCACGTCGAGGACGTCTGAATGGAATCGATTTCGAACTCTGGAACGACTAATTGAAGAAAAGAGGCAAGCGCCAAGGAGTTGGCAAAGGAGATGAGCTGCTCTGGTATGGCCCTATTTCGTTTCCGTACACTTCACAGTCTTGTAAAAGTCAAAAACGGATGGATGGGTCAGAGAAGTCCAGGACAAGACGTGTGAAGGTATGCAGGGGTTTCCCTGCCAGAAGCAGTCGTTTTGATCAGTTGGATGATGTCATCGCAGGAAATGAAAAGCGGTGTTCTACGTAAAGCGCACAAAAAGGATACGGTATATCACGCGTACCAGAAGCCAAAGGTGGAGCGACTGCGAAATCTTTTATTATCAATTGCTGAGGTGTACTGTTCACGGCTGCACAGGCTCGCAGATAAAGTCGCGAGACTTTATCGAGAATAGGATGAATTTCGTTTCTTCATAATATCGCGCGCCAGCATACAGCAAAGATGACCAGCGGCGGTTCATCGAAAGGACTCGGCATCACTTTATTGTTCCTTTCTCCACATTACCCGGATCCCGCAGCAACAGACCACAACCTCCTCCGAATGCTAGCAAATTTTTTGGAATAAAAAAACGACCGTCGACACTCAAGAAAGGCACCGAACTTTCTTTCGCTCCGAAACATGTCAAATTCTTAAAAAAATCTCCGTGAAACGACGGCACAAAGTCGTAAATTACAGTGAAGATTCACAAGGTTGGCGAGCTATGGACAACACTTTAGCTTCAAACGGGACTCGAACCCGCACTTGTGCTCTCCGAGAATCCGGGAGCCGTGCTCAGGGTGTAGGAACTTAGTAGCGACTAAGATGAGTTTATGTTCGACTGAGATCACTTCACGTCTGGGTGTCAAATGGCCTTAACTGTACTCAAACTTATTTTAAGAAGGCGCCTCTCCTCAATCGTACCTAACCTCACCTTGC